TTTCTTAAATTGACTTTATGTTGATGTAGCTAAAAGAATTAACTGCACCCTTAAACATTTCTGCCTGTGAATTCATGTGTTCGATGTGTTATTTTTTTCTAATATATATTGACATAAAATAATAAATAAATAATACATATTGACATAAAACTATTAATATAAAGAAGATCTTTGTTGGGGGTACCACCAAAAATCATTTTCTATACCACAATGAGTCTGGGGAAACCATACTTCAGGCTCATCTTCCTCTATGTGGCTTTCCTTATCCCTTCAGTACAAGAGAATAAAATATATCAGATATTGCTTGAAACTGGCAAGGTGCTAGCTACATTTCACTTCTGTTTCATCTCTTTTTTCTCAAGGCTAACAGTTGCTTAGAAACCTCTTTGAAACCCTAAAAGCCATCTGATGAGGACGATTAACAAAGAACTCTTTCGGGTGAGGACCACAGCACATATAATTTGTTGAGTGGCTTATGGACATTGGGAGCAATGTCCTGGTAAGCAAACGTCCTTTGTTACATCTTTCTCTTTTCTCATTGTTGGGGAGTACAACTGCATTCTTGTTGCAGTGTGTACTGTTGTCTGACTTAATTAAGGCTAGAACAAATGAGATTCTTCTTTAGATATTAAAAGAGCCTGTGTGGTAAATAATAATGTTATAATCTCTTTCAGAGAAAGCACTTTCATTAAGAGCTACATTTTAATGACAACACATTGGCATGCATTCTTTTGGGTAGTGGTGGCGGTGAGGGCCATTAGATGATGATTTTTCATCTTCCATGAACTTGCCAGGTGTCTCAATTAGGTATTTTATAATGTGCCCCTCCCCCCTTCCACTCCCAGGAGCCCGGAAAGAAATAACTTTTCAATCACATGTCACATACAGGGCCATGTTCCCAATAATCAATCGCACACCTATTAGAAGGTACTGACTATATTTACTGACTTGACATGCCCAGAGGAAATTAACTTTTCCTTTGAAGAGTAAAATAATCCAAGATGATTCCTCCCTCTTCTAAATATTTTTTGAAAGGCTTGGGAAACAGGCTGGGGCACTATTCCGGGGATAGCAGCAGCCACAGCTGGCAGGAGCAGGAAAGGAATTTGGTTTGGGAAGAGCGCATGGGGATAGGAGGCTTAAGGTTTAGAATCACTGGCACAGAAGCCATGCAGGGTGGATCCCATCTGCTTCTTTCTGAAGCACAATCCCTGCACTTTTCTTGTCACAAACAGGGGGCAGTCTCCGTTAATTAAAGCTGGGAGCAGCAGCCACAGTGAGTTTCCTCTGAGGTCTAGAGTGAAATGTCCTGGTGACAGGCAATATTTTACAGATTGGAGGCAGATTCTGAAATGGACTTTTCTGTCCAGGTTTTTTTTTTTCTTTCTTTCTTTTTTTTTAACTGTACAGTATGTATTTCTTAAAAAAATCAAATCCAGAGGTGCCTTAATATATATTGACATAAATTACATATTGACATATAATAATAAATAAATAAATACATATTGACATAAAACTATTAATATAAAAAGATTTTTGGCGGGGTACCACCAAAAATCATTTCTTGTACCACCATGACCTTGCAGGAAGGTGTCTGTGACCTACTCTTCTACCATGTCCCTGGATAAACTCTGCCATGATGCTTGCTGGGAAGTACCACAGTGGGGTGGAGTAGGGGCAGAGATGGCAGTGGAGCCCTGGAGCAAGAGTCTGGCAGTCTGTGTCCAGCCCTGCTTTTGCAATTTGCTGGCCATGTAATCACCATCAAAGCCCTTAAGCTCTCTGAGCCTCAGCTTCTTGGACCATAGGAAGCCTGCTGGAGGATCCCCTCCCAATTCTGATTTAGTGTGTAAAAGCTTCCAGTTCCTTTGTATGTGTCATGACAGCAGAAACACTGTTGTCCATGCCATAGGTGTTCTTTTTCTCTCTTGGTTTAAGGCAGAGTCTCGTATAAAATATCTTAATTCATTAATACAGCTCATAAATCTTTTTTTGAGTGCTTACCATGTCCAGCACTGTTCTAGGTGCTGGATGGCAAGGTCAGAGAGTCAAGGCTCTTTCCATCATGGAGTTTACCTCTCAATGCATGGAGACAGACAAAAAACATAAATATATAATATCACAGCAGGTGGAGAGAGAGTTTGGAAGCCTATTTTAACCAGAATCAAATACCAACTCTGGCACTCACTGAGCTACCATGGGCAACTGATTTAATTGCTTTGGGTCTCAGTCTCTCGCTCTGTTGTGTGCCTAGTGATATTACCTAAGGGACAGAGAATTGCATGAGACCAATCACTGTGGTTCAGCAAAGATTTCCAGATTGTCTGCTCTACACTAGACACTGCTCTAAGCTTCCATGAGGTAGTAATTTAGAAAAGCAAGCTTAGTGGGTATGTCGCCAAGTACTGATTGAATGTCAGCTATCATCAGCTCTTATACACCAGTGTTTGTGTTTGTAGGACTCACAAGGTGGTGGTGGCCGTGGGTTGCCAATCATGACAAACATACTACACGTCCTATTTTGAAGATCCTAGTATAATGACTCTGATGAGTTTGGATTAAACAATCTCACACCTTCTCCAGGTGGGTTTGGGACATTCCATAATACCAGTCTTCCAGGTGCTGGCACGTTCCAGGATGTGCTCTATCAATGTTGCTCTTGTGTGTGTTTGCAAATCTTTGGGGAGACAGTAGGTGATGTTTCATCCAAGAGAAGGGACGATCAGCTGAACTCCCTTTCATTTCCAGAAAACTTGCAATAGAGTCCCAATAAATCCTCCCACCCTTTTTCTATTAGGGGGACCAACTTCTCGGTTTTTCGAAAATGCCCTGAGAATCCCTTGGCTGTAGCCAAATGGAGAGGAGGGTGGTGGAAACATCATTTCCCTGCAAATCGCCTAGCCGACTGCAAAGTGTATACTTAGTTAATGCAATTAAAAAACAAAACGCCTGGGCGTGTGGAGATCTAAATTTGGTGTAGCAGCCTTGGTGCAAATCCTGTTTTGGGGGCTACTGGAGTCAAATTCAAGCAGAGGAGAAAAAGAAGTGGGAGAAATGGGAGAGGCCCAACGGATGGCTGGAATCCTCTGGGAGAGAGAGGGCAGATTTGGAAACGCTGAAAGGAGACGGAAACCTGGAAGCCGAGGAAGCAAGGCCGAGTTCCGCAGCCCGGGTGAGGATGTCCGAGGGGCTCCGGGGGGACGGGGACCAGCCGGTTCTGGAGACCGATGCGCGGGTTCCAGGTCCGGGAGGGTGGCTGAGGCTGGGTGCCCAGGCCTGGCGCAGCGCCGGATCCGGGCGCCAGAGGCGGCGCCGCTGTGTGTCCCCCTGTGGAGCTCCGAGATCGCTGCCGGGGCGAACAGGGGCAGGAAGCAGCAGGTCCGGGGGGCTAGGGGAGTTCCAACGAAAGACCTTCCAGGATATGCCATTGACTCGGCCTTGTCCGTTGTCCCTTCCTATCCCCTGAGCTTTTTTTGACTACTTCATCCAAAGCCCCTCTTCCGGGGGTGCTTACCCCCGGCCCAGGGGCTTGTCACCCCTCCTTCCCAGCTCAGCCTTGGTCTTCGCCTCGACCCAGAGAGTTGAGCCATGCGGGTTGCGTGCCAGGCTGGAGGTCGCAGCAGGGTTAAGAGCAAGGCGGCTCCACACGCCTGGGAGGGGCGATCCTGTCCAGACTGAGCCCAGTCTGTCTTGGAGCGAAAGCCATCTAGGCTGTCCCCATCCTCTCCAAGTCATCTCTTCCACCGTGGGCAGATTCCGACCGCAGCTCCTGCGCACGCACCCCTGAAAAAGCCACGGGCGGAGCCACCTCGGCGCCTTGGACTGGTCTGAGCCGCGCCTCCCGCCCGGAGAGGGCGCGGGAGGTCCCACCGTCGTCTTCCACCTGCCGGGAAATCCGAGCTCTTCTTCCAGCCTCGGCGGCTGCGAGCTCGCTCCTCCCCGCCCGCCCGCCGGGCTCAGCTCTGCACGTCCCCCAACTCGCTCCCGCCCGCCC